CCCCCAACTGGGGGGACGAGGCTGCCATGCTGGTAGGCTGGGAGAATGAGACTGCCCAGGGACCCAACCAAAAAAAAAAACAAACTCACTGCCATTGAGTCAGATCTGACTCATAGTGACCCCCCTTGGGTTACCAAGGCGGTATCTCTACAGAACAAGATTGCCCAACCTATTTAGAGTGGCTGGTGGGTTTGAACCGCCAGCCTTCTGGTTAGGAGTCAAATACCTATGCCACCAGATCTTCCAGGTACTATGCCACCAGAGCTTCCAGGGCCCCAGATGGATTGAAATGTCACCACTCTGGTGGACTAGGAGAATGTACTGCCCAAAGCCACAGGCAGGGCATGAGTATGTCAGTGGTCCTGGATGACAAAGATGATGCCAAGGGGCTTTCTCAGAATGTGGAGGATGGGGCTATTGACTAGATGTGTCTGGAAGACAAAGGATTATTTTCAAGCCTTCAAAGCTAATGAGATTTTCCCTGTTGGGTCTGGACTTGCTTGGCACTTGTGATGGCTCCCTTCCCTCCAATTTCTCTCATTTGGAATGAGAATGCCTACTTTATGCCTGCTTCACTACTGTACTCTGGAATCAGATAAACTGTATTATAGGTTTCACAGGTCCACAGATGGAAAGGAATTTTACACCCAGATGAACCATACCAAGTCTCATCCATACTTGATTTAGATGAGATTTTGGAGTTTATGCTGGAATGGGTTTAGAATTTTGTGGATGATAAGGTAATGTGTTCTGCAGGTGGGAAGGACATGAGTTTTGGGGGACCAAAAGGTAAGAGTATCATAGAATGACCTGTGTACCCCCAAATATGTATTTATGTCCTGAGAATTTATAAGCTATACATGTGATAATATTTGAAAATATTATTTTCTTTTTTGTTAATGCAATCATACCAGAAAAGGGTGGGTCCTAAACAAAATCACTTCTGAGCTATAAAAACAGTAGAATAGAGACAGACGTGGGGAAGACATACACATATGGCAGATGCATCTACACACCCAGGAACTCCAAAGATGGCCGGCCACTAGAAGCTGAGGACCTACCCCTAGAGCCACACCCTAAATTTAGACTTCCAGCCTCCTGAACTGTGAGTAAATAAATTTCTGTTCTTTAAAGCCACCCTCTTTTGGTATTTTTGTTATCACTAGATAACTGACACATTGAGCTTTCTGACAAAGCTACATAAATGTATATATTCTAGTTCTCCTTTAATCTAAAGATACATAGATCATGTAACTGAGAAAACAAAAAGCTGCTTTTATTTGTAATTAAGAAATTTGTACCTTGACAGAAATATGCAAATTAAACTATGACTATTAAAGTTTTCATTCAAACAATGCCAATTTAAGTATTAGGTTTTAATAGTATTCAAACTGCCTATATCTTAAGTCCTAGCTGTCCTAGATAACGAAAGTCAAGAGATGTTAGCCTGATCTGCTTTTTGTGTCTGACCTTTGCTGTCAACCTGTGTAAATAAAAAGCCTTTTTGTTACCTCATTCACCCATTTTGTGTAAAGCAAAGTTGAAAAATAGATTTCTCCTAAGATGGACCTTCTTATACTCAAGCACTGAAAATGAATCAAAACCAAAAATGTACTGGTATGACCATAAATATTTTTATTAAATGTGAAAATACACGGGCATAAAAATAGTACCCATATTTGTAAGCATGTCTAAGACCCATTTCAATTAATTTTAGGTTCCTTTTCTAGTAAAACACCAATGGAGATGGATTGTTACTTATTGTCTCATTCAAAACAAACTATAGCTTTACCAGAGGAGTAATATTATAACTGGTCAAATATTTCCAATTTGTACCTCTTCCAATCTCTACTTTCCACTGCAGGTAAGAGATTCGACCACAGATAAGTGCAACAAACCTGTTATTATACACAAAGCCACGCAGTGGCTAATTTTACTTTTAAATCATTTAGCAAATGAGATCATCTGTTTAAAAAAAAAAAAAAACCACCAAATTACTCCATCTATGAACATCATTTAAAATTACACAATAAACTCTGCCATTAACAAAAATGGAATGATCTGATTAAAACAGATACTAGTTATTGACAAATTAGCATTTGCCATCCCCTTTCCTTATGAACAGTAGAAAAGTAAACACCATTCAACAAACTTGCATGGATTTCTCTAGGTCACCCCATTGACATGTACTTAATGAAATCTTTTTGCAAGATCAATCCACAAAGTCCTGTAACTAGTAAGGCAGTCTGCTCTAATACAAAAGTGACTGAGAAGCCATTTTTAACTTAAGCATATTATATACCTTTCTTCCTGGTTAATGTCAAATATAATGTCTGACTAATTTCATGCCTTTAAAGAAATTTTTCTTTTCCTGCCATGAAGTCAGTTTCAAAGTGTGATTCTATTAGCTTTATATCAACTTAATTAATGGTATTATTTTTCACAACTACCCGTAGTTTTTTAGATTCCATTCAAAAATTTGTTTCATACTGGTATTTAAATAAATTTTTAATACTGACTAAAGAGAAAGATGTTTTTACTATTATATTAATCTAATTCACATCAGTAAACTACTAAAATTTTATTCAAGTTTTCATTTATTTGTGGTAAATATATATATATATATATATATAGCACTTTCATGGTGTCATTTTTCATGGCAAGAAAAGCTTTCAGAATTGAGGGTGAATTTTAAATGTTATTTTTCTTAGGACTTTTTCCACAGCATTTATTGGCTGATGTGTTTAATACTTCCTGATGCAGAAACTATCCACAAAGTACACACTTTGTGATAATGTAATGATCTTCACTTATGGAACTCACCACAAAGGAAGGGAGTAGCCTAAGAATTGAATATAATGAATATAATGAAGCTAGGGATGGGGCACCCCTCTGTGCCTTTAACTTTTCATGAAAGAGCCACAATGGTTACTTGGCACCTGCAAGTTATCTTCATTAATCAGGAGAAAACAGACTCTGGAGAATTCACTTCCTTCAGGGGAATGGGCACTTGGCACCATAGCGTCTCTGCTCTTTTCACTGAGAACGTAGCCATGGAATTCTGCACATTTCAGTTAAGATGACTAAGTTAATAATAATCCATGGTAAGATTTAGGAACAGGAATCATGGTGGTTACAAGTGGAGAAAACAAACAACCCTTAGGGCAGCATGTTGGTAGGGAGCTCAGTAATAGATGCCGAAGGCACACATCCTCTCCGGTGCCATCCAGTCCTCAGCCATCCCAGATGATCTTTCAGCTCCTTGGTGTTGACAGCTTTATATTCTCTTCTCCAAGTGGAAGAGCAAGTGAGGTGATTGTAATAACTCTGTGAAAATTCTTACTTTTGAAAGAAGACAGAAGTCATCACTGTCTTTCAAGGAGGCCACAGCAACATCATGCAATGTAACTAGTGAAATCAGAAGATTACTAAGATTAAAGAAGAAGACAAAAAATGAATTTACCTTGGAAATAATTTCCACGTCGGCTCGAATTCTGGGACATTAACACAAGATGAAAGCTGCAAGTTGTTTCCTCGTTTTCGAAGGGCAATGCTATGTTTCGCTCAACTCTGTGATTTCTTTCCCTCAGTTAAATAATTTTTTCTACATACGTTTCAAGATGATGAGTGTAGAAGAAAAAGATTTTGTGCTTAAGTGTTATGGACATCAGTGGTGAGGATGCCACCACAACTACTTCAAATGCTTGATTTCATGGAAAAAAAACCCAGATCTTTTGCTGTTATGTTTCCAGAGTAATGGTAATGATTCTATCTAAAGTAATGCTCTTAGATTTCAAATACAGCATCAGTAAGTTCCATGAAGGTTCTGTATTCTTGATTAAAGTGACACTCATTTTTTAGGGCAAAAATTATGCAGTATACTGACTCAATAGTTAATTTCTTAAAAGGTTTAAAAAAAAAAAAGTATCCCAAGAAAAGATGCCATGTTATTAAGTGAAATGATAGTGGAAAAAGAGCTGGAGCGGAGTATGTTTGCAAACCAGTATTTTTTTCTCTAGGCAAAGGAGAACATACAGAGGATCGGTCTGCTAAAGGAGTGTCTACAGTTTAACATCCACCCGCAAAAAGTCCTGTCAGCGTGGGAGTCACTACAGCCCCAGAGCGTTGGACCTGGAGGTAGGAGAAGCTGCCTCCCATAAGTGGGAAACATGGCATTCTCTGTTGCTTTAAGTGGACTGAGCACAATCCTGTAATATATTGTGTAAAACAAGTCAGACTTCTGTGATTTAGAAAATATTTCAATCTGCACTTCAGCATTATTAAGTAATATCACTGCTACATTATCTGAAATTATTTTCTATATTATCCTTCAGTTAATTTTTTGTGTTTAATACAAAAGAGACCATAGGTCTATCACAGTGGTTCTCAGTATTCTCCCCTGCAGTTATTGACCAAAAAAACAAACTATATATCAACTACCATTTGGTAACAGGACCTTCCCCCTTTTTTAATGACAGCCATGTAAATCCTAGTAAAGAAACACGTAAACACATGCAGATTAAAGGAGGCTCAGTAATTTAACAGATATTCGCAAATGACTGGACTGACCTGAACAGAGTTGTCCCTAAGAACTACAGCTCAAAATATTCTCTTTAAGAATACTGAAACAAGACCCATTCTTCATGAAGACCACGGCTCTTTTCACACACGTAGGCACTATGCAAGGCTGTGAGGAGAATAATCTCTGCCTGTTCCAATGCAGAGAAATATAAAATGCATGAGCCCTTCTACAGACGAGCCTGCCTCAGACATTCATAAAATGTACACAGGCTGCTTTGTCACAACAGAACCTTCCTTGCCTCCCTACTCACACAAACCCATCAACCATAAGGTCTAAATTGGATAAGAACAGATTTTTAACTCTTTGGTTATGGAGGACAAAAAGAGTTGAAAATATTTTCATTAGGATCCTGAAATAAGATTTCTTTGTTTTAATCTTAAAAAAAAAATTAATGAAGAAGAGCAGGAAAATAATTGGTTTAATTGAAGTGGAATTTAAATCTGAATGGTCCGCCTGAGCTGAAGGGATTAAACCCTTGCCATGAGTTCCAGCTTCTGTGGAAAGGGTTGCCACCACCTCCTTGTTGGCTTTCTGCATCCAGGGGATCTTCTCCATCATCAAACTTTTTCCTCATTTCTATAAAAGAAATCAGCAAATTAGGACCCAGGTATTGATTAAAATATATGTAGGAGTTTGTTGTGTGTGTGGTGGTGGGGGTTGGTTCTTGCTTTTTCAGTTATCAACACTGTGCCTGGTGTTTGAATTGAGTGTCCCCTATTCCCACCCAGGAGATCAGAGATTTGGTCTCAGGAGAAAGAGAACTAGAGACAGCAGTCACAGAGAAGTTCAGGGTTGAAAATAAGCAGTGATTGATATTTAGGTCCCCTAATCATCTTACCTCGCAAAAATGCTATCCAAGATTGGGAGCTACCCGAGGAAAATCTAGAGTCCTCCAATAGAGTCTCCAATAGTCACATTCTTCCTACTCTGATCCCTAAAATCAAGTCTGTCAGGAAGCAACCTCTGCCTCACTCTTAAAACTGAACAGAACGAAGCCTCACCAGATCTGAACGGAGGCAGGCACCCGTGCTGCACAACTCCAGGATGTACAGTATTCATGCACACGCAGTATGACTGCCACCACAGAGTCGTGCACCATGCTGCTGTAAGCCCTGAGGAAAAGTCCTCACTACTGAGAAAGATCCTGATGCAGGAATAGGAAGAAAAGCTATTTCATCCCTACAATAAGAATAGAAGCTGTGAAAAAAGAACTTTTCATTAGAAATGACAGTTGGAAAAACAGAAGATAGAGTTAAGGAAATTTCCTAGGAAATACTGAGCAGAAACAATCAATACTGAGGTGCACTTCTAACAAAGAGTTCCAGAAAGAGACAACTCCAAAAAAAAGAAGAAAGTTTTATCATAACTAAAGCACAAAAGCCCTCAGAATGAATGAAAAAGGCACAACCACTATGAAAATTCCAAAAAACTAGGGATAAAGGAATAATACAAGTTATACACAAAGGAAAAAGAATGGCACAGGACTTCAACAGCAACCCTGGCTGCTAGAGGAAAAAAAATGGTTTCAAATTTTAGCAGAACTAGTTTCTATACTCAAAGTATTAATCACCATGAATGGAAAGGGGCAAAAGGAAATTTTCAGTTTGCAAAACTAAAACTTTTTTATTTTCTATATAGTCTTCCTAAGGCAGCCACTGGAAGATAAATGCTCCAGCCACATCAGTGACTAACCAGGCAAGTGCACAATACAAAATCCAGGTAACACTCCACCCCACAGAACAATGAGTGGAAATGGGAAATAACAGAGATGGAAATAGAGATAGTGCCAAAATTCAAAGTATCATTTCACTGAATGTATAATGTAGAAGCTCAACCAAGTTTCCAAGAGTAATACATAGGACACATCCAAAATTTTCAAAAAGATGACACACCAAAATAAACTAGGGTACTCAGCAGCCTTGAAAATGCTAAATTGGGAAATAAAAACTGAGATTCAAGCCCTAGCTATGATGCCTGAGAGCTAAGTGTTCCTGTAGTATAAAACCTCACAGGACAGAATAAAGCTGCACAATACAAGTATTAGTATGATAACTGGGAAATGAAACTGCCTTTTTATCATCTCATTTCACTTTAGATAATAAAGCATCTGATTATTAGTATTTAAAAAGAGGAGGGATCAGCAATACTATGGTTAAAAAACAAGATAGAGAAAGTGGGAGGATTTAATCAGTTTACATGTAGACTATAATTTACATGTAGACCAAACAGCTGAGAATTACAGTAACAATGTAAATTTTGTAAACCTTGACAAAGTAAAATTAATAGCTAACAAAATTAGGAA